GAAACATTTAAGAATGTTGGAACCACTGGGGATGGGAATCTCTTCTGTCAACTATAAATTTTATGACATCTAAGTCTAATTATAGATCAATTTTATAACCACTGTAAATTTTATGACATCTAAATATAGATTTCTGATGAATATTTAGCTCCGGCATTGAGATGTGCTATAAATGGAAAACACACACTAGATTTGAGGGCTTAGAATGGAAAAAAAAAAAAAAGTAAATTTTCTTATTAATAATTTTTACATGTCAGAATGATAGTATTTTTTATTTACTGGGTTAAGTACATTATATTATTTAAATTATTTCAGTTGTTTCTTTTTGCTCTTTTTAATGTGGCTATTAGAAAGTTTATAATTACATATGTGGCTCACATTATCTTTCCATGGGGTGGTGCTGGTCTAAAATAATTTGGGGTTTTTATTCCTCCCACTTGCACCATTTGATATTCCAAAGCAGAAGTGGTCATAAGGAACCAATGGAAGGATTTTGCAAAGATTACAAATCCTGGGAGAATATGAGTTAATCTTGTGGTGCAGTGAGTGACCTCCGCCCCATCCAGGGGGAGTCCCCTGGATGCCACGACTGGGGAAGGGGCCCAGGACCCTTGGGCAACAGCCAATTTTGCATCCTATAGCCCCGCCCCTGAGAGCAGACCCCGGGGCCAGGACTGGTTTTGTCAAAGGCACCCACACAGAAAAGCTGGCTCCTAGAGACACACATGAGGCCCAGTCTTGGCCACAAGATGGGTCCAAGAACCATCCCACAGAAGCAAATGTGAGAAGGTTGGTGCATCCTTCAACCTTGTATCACAGAACAAGGCTTCTCCCTTTCACACTTGTGCACATGTTGTCCCTCTACCTAAACTGCCCTTCCTTCTCTTATCCCTCTGGAGAACTCCTATGCATCCTTCAAGATCTAGTTCAAATGTTCCTTCCTCTGAAGCCTTTCCTGACCCAGTGATGTTCCCACATCCCATCTCTGGGCTTCTGGCCTCGTGTATTCTTGCCACGTCCTTATTGGCCTCAATGCTTTTATTCCTGCTCCCTCAAATGTGATTTCTTTCTAAAACACACCATATGTGTCTCTTCCTTGGGGAAATTGCCACTGTGTCCCCATTACCTAAAACAGTAGTTCTCAAACTTAAGCAAGCATCAGCGTCATGTAGAAGGCTCCTTAAAACACAGATCGCTGGGCCCCACGCAGAGTTTCTGATCCAGCAGGTCTGGGCTGGGGCCTGATATTTTGCCCGGGGCTTGATATTTTGCATTTCTAACAAGGTCCCAGGTGCTGCTGCTGGTCCCAGGGCTGTACTTTGAGAACAGATAGAAAAGATCAAGTGCAAACTCTTCACCTTGGCACTCAAGGCCCTGTACAACACAACCTGCCCTCGTCTTTCACCAGGTGTGGCCCGAACCCTAGCCCATCCTTCATGCAAACATGCCATACCTTCTCCCCAACTCCACACCACTGCCGGCACTGTCCTTTCTGCCTGAAACCCTCTGTCCCTGCTGATCCACCCAGTTCTAGGGCCACCTCCTTGATTTCATAATGTCTAAAACCAAAGTCCCTCAAATGATATGGCACCTTTCAAGGTTTACAAAGTAGCAGATGTAGGCTGTGGGGTGGCCACAAAATAGGAGGGTAGGAAACTTCAGAGATAGCAGCAGCCCTGGGTGAGATAATACCAGCCTAAAGTGACAATTCAAGGACGGAAATTCTGCTGTATCTACTTAAACAACCTCAGACAGTTACAGTCTAGTTACAAAATGTCCTTTTTTCTCTATCTGGTTTTCCGGTTCTGCCACCTTCTAGCAGCGTGGCCTTGGGTGAGGGGTGGGGGACTTGGCGTCTTTGTTTCTCATTTTTGTCCGTGAGGTGGGGACAACCTCACAGAATGAACAATGAACAAGGAACGACACGATGCAAGTGGAACTCACAGGGAAAGGCCTGGCGCACAGGACGCCCTCGGTTGGCCTGTTGCATTATCTTTGGATGTGAGAAAGTAATGAACTCGGTACCCAGCCACAATCAGTAATGGGCACACATACATAAAAGATGTTTTTTTAATGGGTACATAATCAGCAGTCCCATAAAGACTGTAGGGATGGACAGCAGGGCGGATGGACAGGTCAGTGGATGGACGGGTGGATGGGGAAACTCTTTGTAAATATCAAACGTGGCGCCGTAAGGCTGGTTCGATAACAGACACTTGAAAATCTTCAAAATCCTCCTAAAGAGGTTTTCAGGAAATGACACAAAAGTTCGAAGATGTCCATCAGAGCTGTTTATAACCAAAAAAATAAAAAGGAAGCGCCTAGATGCTCATCAGTAGAGAACAGCACAATCAGGAGACGGCATCTACAGAACAAAAACTAAAGATGCAGGTATTTCCCTGTTGACATGAAAAACTCTTCCGAATAGAGCTACATAAAAAGAGTTGAGCAAAAGGTAAAAAAAGTAACAGGTATGATACAAATTCATCCTTTTCAAAGAACTGTGGGTATGGGAGTGTGTATATACGAAGTCCAGGAAAACACATTCCAAGCGTTACCGGCGGTTATCTCTGGTATAAAATTTGGATGGTACGAACCGTTTTTTTTCTTTTGCCTTTTCACATATTCTCCTTTTTCTCTGATGACCATATATATCACAGCTGACTCATTTCTAAAAAATTGATTTGACAGAGAGAGGAAGGGGGAGAGAGCGAGAGAGAGAAATATACACTGATTTGTTGTTCCACTTATTTATGCATTCATTGGCTGATTCTTTTTGTTTTTAACATGTCTATTGATTTCAGAGAGATGAAGGGAGAGGGAGAGAGAGAGAGAAATATCAGTGATGAGACAGTTGTCATTGATCAGCTGCCTCCTGCATGCCCCTGCTGGGGATTGAGCCCAAACACAGGCATGTGCCCTGACCGGGAATCAAACCACAATCTCCTGGATCCTAGGTCGATGCTCAACCCCTGAGTTAAGCTGGCCAGGCCACTGGCTAATTCTTGTATGTGCCCTGACCAGGGATCAAACCCACAAACTTGGTATATCAGGACGACGCTCTAACCAACTGAGCTACCCAGCCAGTGCCCACAGTTGACTCAAACAATGCAAGGGTGAGGGGCACCGATACCACATAGCTGAAAATCTGCTTATAAATTTTGACTCCCCAAAACTAATTAAACCAGTTTTCCCTTGATATCCTTGGGAACTGGTTCCAGGATCCCCGTGGATACCAACAGGCAAGGATGCTCAAGTCCCCTATATAAAACGGCGTAGAACAATGCGTAAGGTTGGCCCTCCACATGAGGCCTCAAGCCTGGGATTGAAAACAGTACAGGTATTTATTGAAAGAAATCCACGTAGAAAGTGGACCTGCGCAGTTCAAACCCGTGTTGTTCAAGGGTCCATTGTAATCATTTAATTTCTTAAAAGAAGGAAAAACATTTTAAAAAGCAGCTCCATGAATCAGGACAGAGGAATGGCCCTGAGTTGGCAGCAGCTTTATAGGCCTCAGCTGTGTGACCATAAGCAAGGGGCCTGCCCTCTCTGGACCTCTATCCCCTCCACTGGAAAAGATGACCAGTCTCCCTGCTCTGCTCACCTCTCGAAGTGCCTGGAGACCGTGGGTGAGGAGGGGCGTTGAAACCTGCAGCTGACACCAGATGGTGGTGGTTTTATCGCTCAGTGACACTCGGAGGACAAAGGGGAGTTGGCCTCTGTCGGGGGAGGGGGGCCACCAGTTTTAGGGGACAGAGCTCTGGGTGGGGCTGGGCGGCCAAGTTCTCACCCAACCCCACACACTGGTTCCCTTCATCCCTGTGAAATGAGAGGCATGAACTTCAACAGTGTTTCTAAACTCTCCTTTGGTTTCTGAGACATCAGGATCCTTTTTGCAAACTTCCTTGATAAGATCGGTAGTTCTATTCCTAAAAATCAGGCATTCTGTCCAAAAAAAAAACAGCCAAGTGTGGGTCTATTTCCCATTATTCTTAATAGAAAAACTATAAGCATTACACATCAACTCCAAACTCCCCACTGTCTGCCTACAATGTAACTAAAACACAGTAACGCTCCTATAGCGGGACAGGAGGTGACACGCTTACAGCACCCACTCCTGACCCCCACAGCAGCACTAACAGCTGTCGGGACCGGGCTGTGCGCAGTAACATGAGCCCGGCCGCCTCGGTCCCGCACCATCGTGGATGCCACCCAGCCCGCCCAGCCTGGAAACCTCGCAAAACATCCACCTGCGACCCAACAAGCCTTCCGACTGCCCCCAGGATACACTAGAGGCTTCTCCGGAACAGCATCTTGTTACAACTGTACTGAGCTTTGGGGATACAGAGACGTTGTTTTACATATAAAATATCGACTGAGAAAAGGTTTGGAAAGACTCAAACCTACTAGGAAGTCTGGGTTTTATAAACTGAGAGGCATTAAGACCAGGAGAAAGTCAGTGGGGGAGAGGTTGTGTGGGGCAGGACAGACTGAGAAAAATCCGGGCACTCTGGAGAATGGGGGGCTGTTAAAGGGCCCCCCTCCTTAGTGCTGCCATTGAAAGAAATCCCCCTGTGGCAGCCACCACAGTGGTAGCAACGATTTTACTGCTACAAATACCAGCAGCCAACATTCACCCAGCTCTCACCTGTGCCAGGTACTCCTCAAAGCACCCACCACGAATTAACTCGTTTCATCCCCATAACGACCTTCAAGCTAGGTACTGTTATCACCCCCATCTTACAGACGGGGAAAGTGAGGCCTGGACAGGAAAGAACCTGCCTAGGGTTATCCACCTTGTAAGCAGCAGAGCCCAGGATTCGAGGCTGGGCCAGAGAGCTTTAGTTCCTTCCTGCTCTCAACCAAAAGTGGGGAGGCTGTGCAGAAAGGGGGAAACGGGGGATCCAGAGTCCCCCTACTTCCCTTTCTCCTTGCCCTCCAGGCAGATGCTGAGAAAGGGCCGAGGCCCTCAGGCCGGGCCGCGGGGGTGGCGCCCTTACCCACAGCTTGCTGTCGTAGTAGTAGGCGCCCAGGAGCTTCACGATGTAGGGGTGGTCGCAGGTGGCCAGGATCTCAATCTCCACGATGTAGTCCTCCAGCTCCTCCTCACTCTTGGTCTCGATGACCTTGGCGGCGGCCAAGGCACCCGTCTCCTTGTTCTTGGCCTGCAAAGCAGAGGCACAGAAGGTGACCAAGGCGTGCTCGGGAGGACACTGGAGGGAATGGGGAGTGAGTGTTTAATGAGGGCAGAGTTTCCGTTTGGCGTGATGGAAAGCTCTGGAAATGGACAGCGGGGAAGGCTGGACAACACTGTGAATGTCCTTCAAGCCACTGCATTATACACTTAGAAATGGCTAAAATGTTCAACTTCGTGTTATACATATGGTACAATTTAAAAACCAAGAGCAAGAGAGAAATAACCGCGTAAATGACACAAGCAACTCCAACCACAGTGAGCCGGTGTCCACGGAAAGGGAGGGGAACCCACAGTCCCCTTGGGCAGCCCCGTGAGGTGTGGGGCTGCTGCATTCACCCAGCACGCGGCGCGGTCCCGGTGTTTAGGGAGAGCACCCTATCCTGCGACAGGGGCCCTGAAAGCGAGCTGCACCCCGGAGCCTCCAACAGCAATCTACGGAGAACAGGGTGCCCGGGGCCCCTGAGCAGCCGTGCTGGCCTCCACCAAGGTGCCTCCCTGGGGAGAGCAGCACACACCGCTCTGGCCTTAAAGGGCAGCTGTGCCACCTGACCCACTAGAGATGCCCACTTGTGCACCAGGAACCCCGAGGATGACGATAGGAATTCATGTCAAGTCACACGATCACCACCGTAACCCGCACCACAGTGTCCCCATTCTACAGACAGGCAAGTCCAGGCTTGCAGAGGACATCTGGGTCTTCGGCTTCCAAGATTCTATGCACTGTCCCCTACTGTACACGGGCCCCCTGTCATCTCCAGAACTCAGACGCCTCCTGGATCAGATGCCAACAGACACTTCCGAGAGGTCCCAGGACAGCCCTGCACAGGGACACCCTCCCCCTGGCCTCAGGGACCCCAAGGGCCAGCTGGGGAGACCCACCCTCTAGTGCCAATGGGGAGACAGCATGCTCCTGGGTGCAGAGTGGGAACTGGGAGCGGGTGCCGAATCTCGCCAGGAAGCCTTCTAGAAGGGAGTCACACCCATAGGCAATTTTTACACTCGTTTGCAAATTTATTCTCAGTTTAGGGACATGTTTCTGTTCATTGAGCTGCGAAGTCCACATTTATCACGGGCTGGCTCTGCATGGGACCTCGGTCTACACCTCAACACGGGCTAATCCATTCATCTCCCCAACAAGCCTGGATGCGGTGCTATTACTACCCCAGGCGCAGGGGAGGAGAGTGACAGAGCCGGGCCGCCTGCACTCCCGCGGCCGCCCTCCCCTCGTCGCCTGCTGGTCTAAGAAACCCTCCAGGAGCCCAGGTCAGGGCTGGAATGTCACGGGCAGCCATTCCCCGGACTCAGTCCTTGCGCTGGAATTCGCCCCGTGTCCTCTCCCGATTCAATTCTGAAAGCTCGCTCAGAGCCCCTTCACCCCCTCAATTAGGCGGTCAGGTCCCCCGCACTCTCACACACACCTGTAACGGACTATGTTCCTGCCTTTCACTGCTTTCTGATTTTCTCCTGCCACCAGACCATCAAAACATCCTTCCTCACTGTTCAAAGTCCTCTCCGAGCCCAGAAGAGCAGTTTAGACACTGCTCCTTCTCAGAGAGGAAGGCGGAGGGCTCCGCGGCGGCCTGGCCGCGCTCCCCGGCCCCCAGCCAGAGGGCAGGCACGCTGAGCTGGCAAAGGCCACCCCTCTGCCAGTCACCTTTCACTCCCTGGGGCTGGCGCAGGAGGCTGCCTGCCACCTTTTTCTGGGTTTCCTTAAAAGGGATGTTTTCTCCTGGAGGTGGGGGAGGCCCAGGCAGGGTCCGTTTTCCAGGATTGCACACAACCTGCCTCGCCCGCCACCCTGAAAACAGCACTGACCAAGGGGCCGGGCCTGGCAGGGCTGCTGTGTTCACAGGGAGGGACCATGCTGCCCAGCACCTGGCTCAGATTCCACAGGCCAGCGCCGACCAGAAAGGGGCGAGCAGCAACCATGGCACAGCACACAGAGTGACTTGGCCAAAATTAAAGTCTTTACCAGCCCAGCAGTCCATCACCTTGAGGCCACAATCACGGCTGATGATAAAACAGCTGCCCCCGCTGGAGCTCTCGCCAGGGGCCAGGGCAGACCCTACGTGGACTCTCTCACCTCATCTTCCATCCAGTGCTCAGAGATAAATACTAGCATTCTCAATTTACAGATGCAGAAACTCAGATTCAGAGACACACAGTGATTTGCCTCAGGTCACACAGCAAGTGAGGGGTGAAGGCTGGATCCAAACAGCCGCCTGAGCTCTGACTCACTTCCCAGGAGGCCCTTCTGGGTGAGGGCCCAGTTCCCTGCTCTGGCTCCCTCTGCTAAAGATAAATGACAACCACAGCCAATAGCGTGCTTGGCAGCTGGGGACTACTGCAATTGCCAGAGTTTAGTCTGACCACAGGCCATTAAGGCAGGTGTGAGCCATGGTGTCCCTTCCCTGGAGGAGCAAGCTGAGGCTCAGAGAGGTATCAGGACCCACCCAGGGCTGCTCTTCGGTCTCCTGAGTCGTCGATGCACTAGGCTATTTGATCACTTATTGCCTATCCCTTCACTCGCCATTACTTACATGCCCAGAGTAGTGTGAGGCACTTTTCTAGTGGAGAGTGTCCACCAAGAGGGGCATTTGTGAGTCGGATTCATGGCCCTCCCACAGCGGAACTCACCCTTCCCGGATTTTTCTGCAACAGAGCCAACCCACCCTCATTCCAAGGCCCAAGACGCAATGGAGGGAATTCCACCCTTATCTCCAGACGTGGGTGGGTGACTCATCCTGGCTAATCAGAACACAGTGACTGCCTCAGGGAGGGATGTGATGGGGTCAGCCAATGAAATGCAACCTCAGAACAGCGCTGAGATGGTCCCAAGCCCTGCTGCAAGAGGCAGCCCTGGAGCTGCTGGGCTCTACATGCCCCCAAGAGGGGACTGAAAATGAAACAGCTGAGCCTAGAGTGAAGCGGCAGAGCCTCAAGGGGACATCACAGGACACTGATCCCTCCATTAGTTTTCACACCAAGGAGGTACTACTATTAAGAGCCTCATCTTACATACAAAAAAACTGATGCTCAGAGAGGTCAAGTCACTTGCCCGAGGTCACACAGGGCTGGGAGGTAAATTCAGGCCTGTGTGGATTCAAAGTCCACGTTCCTGACCACTTTGCCAGAGATGCCTATACATTCTGCAAAGGGCCTCTCTGGGCCTCAGTTTCCCTCACTGCATAGTGGGAGGATGGGGAAGTGATGCCCAAGATCTCTGTGGTCTGATGTGAGGGCATCTTGGAGAGTGGGTGGGTCCTGGAAAGCTAAGGGTGGTCCAAGTGGACAGGGGACCCGTGGGAGGTGACAAGCATAAAGAACAAGCGGCTATCTGTGCACTCTGACGTCCGTCTCTCCCACCGGCTGAGGCAGGGCTGGGGTCCAGCGAAAGACGGGGGAGCCCGCACCCAGCCCTCCGCTGCTGGCCTCAACCCACACCCTCGAGAGCACACACACAGTGGCCACTTGTGTTTTCTAACCCAGGCACCTCTGTGGGAACAATCCTCCCCCTTGTGCGGCTGGGGGCCCAGCCTGGAGGAGGTGGGGACAGCCCTGCCTGCCGGGAGCCCTGCCCCACCCAAGGGGCCCAGCCAGGGGCTGGAGGCTTCCTGAAAGTCAACCACACTGTGGCAGCCAGTAGGGGACAACTCCCAGGCCCTCCCCTTCCCTCTTGGCTGCAGGCTGATCACTGTGTCCCCTGCCTCCTCCCCCAGGGAAAGAGCTGAGATCACAGAACTCAGAGGCCAGAAAGAACACTGGCCACACTCCTAAACCCCAGCTCCCCACCCCCCATGCTGCAGATGAGGAAACAGAGTCCACAAAGGCGAAGGCAGTGACCAGGGTCCAATCTGCAGCAGCCGCCTTATCTGCAAAACAGAGCACCGCCTGCCTCAAGCAGAGTGAACAAGAACTTGAGCCAAGAACCCACGGGGCCGGGGGTGGGGCACCTCAGGCCCGGGAGCTGGCAGAGGTGCCCAGAGAGGAGTCCTAAAGAGGGCAGCAGGGGAACTGGGCAGCATCCATCCCCCTGGACTCACAACTCCAGTTTCTTCTGGGAACCACCTCTCCTCACTCAGTCACAGCCAGCCGTTCAGACGTGCCATGTGATCCAAGGCAGGCCAGCAGGGCTGTACCTGTTAGTTCTTTGGTTTGTTTTGGGTACTGGGGGGTCTGGGTAAAGCAATCAGGAAAGAGGCTTTTTCTTTCTAGGAGGTTGCTCCACTGTTAGGATGAAGGCTGGAGGGTCTTGCAGCCCATCCTGCCACTTTCAGAGAGCGGCCTGAGGAGAGACCAAGACAGGGAAGCAGGGCCCACAGGTGGAGGAGGGCAGATGCTGAGGGTCTGCGAACACCTGGAGCCAGCTGTTCCTAAAGGCCGGATCCGCCCTTAGACTTTTCAGTTATGTGAGCCAATCAACTCCCTTCTGGACTTGTACCACTGTCCACCAAAATGGAAATTAGCTCCCCACCTGCGGGGCTGTCCCGCAAATATTTACGGAAATACTTCTCCACGCAACACACATGTGACAAGGGCACCTTCACTCCCAAGTGCACCAAGGCCTACAAAGTGCCCTTCACTGGGACCTCTCGGAGGGGCTGACCAAAAATTCAGGCCGGTCAGCAAAGGGCCACAGGCAAACAGAAACCGTGGGATTCTTCTGCCAAAAGAATCTTCCTCCAAAAAAGTGGGGATCATTTTACACGTATTAAACTAACAAGACCAGGGACAGCGACAACCTCCGGTGCTGGTGACCCACAGGCAGTACAATGGGAATACCGGGTCTGAGCAGCACCGAGCAGAATATAGGCAGATTATCTCGATAAAGACAGAAATTAACAATAGGTCTTAAGGGCCTTGAAAAGATCTCTGGAGCCTATTATCTATCCCTCGTTCCTGATCATTTCAGGCCGGGACATAACTTCAAAAAGGACCACACACAAAATGGACCATGTTCACATCAGT